TCTACACATCTACAGACTTGCTTATGAAACAACCTTGGCATTCCCTATAGAATTCTGAGTACTGTGGTCTCTAAAATTTTAGAAATGAGAGTTAAAAAGAAGTACACCAGTACCTATTCATAAGACATTAACTTAAATGTAAACCAGGTTTGTTCATCTCTAAATCTCATAATGAAAAATAGGTACTTTTGGGGCTGGAGAGATGAAGGCTCAGCCATTAAGAACAATGGTTGTTCTGCAGAAGACCCAGGTTCAAATCCCAGCACCCACATGGCAGCTAACCGTCCATAACTCCAGTTCCAGGGGATCCAACAGCCTCTTCTGTTCTCTGTGGGCATTGCATGACATGGGCACACTTACCTTCATGCAGGCAATACATGCATACACATAAAATAAAAATAATAAATAAAATATTTTTAAAAGTGAAGTAGGTTGTATTTATTTAAAAAAATAGGTACTTTTTTCTCAAATTAAATTTCAAAATGAGTTATTTTGGTTCCACTCGTGTGTGATAAATGTCTCTTTATTAGGTGTGTTTTTGCTGCTGTGATGCAGCAACATAACCAAAAGCAACTTAAGAGCTTATTTTGGTTTACAGTTCCCCAGGGCTAGAGTCCATAATGATAGGGAAGGTTTGCATAAGGCAAGAGCAGGCAGCTAGCCAATGGCATTTTATCCGTACACAGGAAGTAGAGACAGCAAACAGGAAGTGGGGCCAGGTTATAAACCCTCAAGGCTTGCCCCCAATGACATATTTTCTCCAGCAAGGCTCTACCTACTAAATGTTCCATAATTTCCCCAAACTGTGTCACCAACTGGGGACGAAATGTTCAAATACATGAGGAGGTGGGAGACATTTTTCATTCTGACCTCCACAGACTCCTTTCTGTGCCAGAAATACCAAGTGAAATAAGACCTTGTTCTGTCTTAGAAAAACTGTCTCTAAGGTGAGGTCAAGAAGAAAGAACATAAACACGTTAGATCTGTCTGGCACTTTTGCACTGAAGACTGTGGTACAGAAATCTCACAGGGAAAGTATCACTTGATTCTCATTGGGATGAGGGGATGGTGGCTGTCATGTTTCAGAAGGGGTGTGCTTCCATAAGAGACTGTGGAAGTCAAAGAGAAGGAGAAATGTAGGAAATGCCAATGAGCTAACACATTTAGGCATATGGAAATATGAAGCATCCACATGTACACAAGAAAGTATAGGCAATTCATGGTAAACAGAGTACAAAGGGAGAGTGACAAGGGACCAGTCACGGTAGTAGGCAGAGATTCAATCATGGAGGCTCCTGCCAGTCAAAGGATTATGTAATTTTACTCTATGGGTTCTGCATAGATTAAGGAAGGAAAGAGGATCATTGTTGTATTGTAATAACATCAGCTTGAGAGCTGTGAAGATTTGAAAACAAAACCCCAAAACAAATGAGAATATAGGGAAAAACAAACGAGTGATGAGAAATGAAAATGGAAAACCGGTAAATGTTGAGGCAATATGAGGTATTTCTTTTTTAAATTAAACCTAGTAGGTCAATGAAAAAGATTTGATGTGGCTGTAAGCATTGTCAGTCAGCTGGTGCTTCCACTCTGCTGCATGAGAAAAACCAATCGTAAACATTGCTTTCTTAATCATATATGCACAGGCAGGCTGTGCCCCGATTTCAACAGGGTGGTGAACAGGTTTAGTGTCAGTCCTTGTGTTGAGATTAAGTGGTCTTCATGTGCCCCAAATCTTCTGTAGATCTAGTTTCCTGTGCTGTGTACCTTTCAAAATGAGGGTAACAAAGCTAGGGTAAAGAAAGAAAAGGCCATAAAGTATGTTCGAGAACCTTTCCCTGTTAAGTAGAGTGACGAGTGACTAGAGAGAAAGTTGAAAGCAAGGTAAGCACAACAGAGGGAAGTGTGGCATTCTAAGAGGGACTGTGAAAGAAAGGGGATCCCCACAAGAGTCAAGGAGCAATGCACAGAAATGAGAAGTAAGTGCCCCCCAACCCTCACAATATGAATGGGAGGCTTGAGTTGAAAAGGGTTGCAAGATTCGGAGTGGGGAGTTAGACTTCAATTAGGATCAAATGGCAGGATAATTTCAGAGATGAGATTTAAAGTGAACAGCGTTTAATGAGAATCTAAGTCATGTCTATGGGCTGAGAGAAAAAAGGAATGGGAAAGAGGATGTCGGCAAAGGTACAAAATTAAGAACGGAGTTCTGGAGTTCTGTAGCAGCTGGTTTTGGAGAGAGTGAGTATAGACTACACGGAGACAGAGATAGGACCACCTGTGGTATGGATGAATGTAGAAGAAAATACGAGAAATTAAGGATGTTTATGGTGGCCATTTTCCCATATCAGGTCAGTACATGCTGACCTCGTAGACCCAGCAAACAGATTGCTCAAGAAAATAAGAAATGTTGTAAATAACATGTAATCCATTATGGGATGCGGTCACTGTAAACAATTAGTAATTTTTATTTTAAGCTGAGCATGATGGCATATGCCTATAATCCTAGCATTCAAGACTGTGCAGATGGATTGTCATGAGTTTGACGCCACCCTGGGCTACATAGTGAGACAGTCTCAATTTTTAAAAATCATGCATAAATATCCATATGATTTTTATTTATATTATTTACAGTCACAGAAATCCCCTCTACACATACAATCATACTACATTCGAGGATTAAGCGATAGATATGCTACTGTTTTCCCAAACTTAAATGTGTATTATCACTGTCCAACTGCATGTTAGAGCATGTGGAGAGACTGACAGTTCAGGTAAGCATAGTACCTGCAGCTGCCACTTGCCTTTCCTATAGACTTCAGGAAAAAATATATATGTGTTATCGCATGCAGTTATAGCTCCAATTCTCACTTTGTAGTACACAGATATGTTAGAACTAAATGACACATCACATTCTTCTTGTACAGATGGCTTATTTTAAAGAGTTGATTAAGACCTGGAAAAAGTGGTCCCATGAAAGGCCTGGTTCCTCAGTCACACAACTGAGGCTCAAGCCAGAGCCTCTTGCTTGTGGACATCATTTCTGCCAATTTTACCTGATTTAATAATCTTAATGATTTTTAAATTCTCAAAGTTTCCCCAAAGCCAGAATGAAAGATAGAAAATTTATACTGGTAATATTTCCTTTTATCTTCTATCAACGAAGGCCACTGAGAAGCTTCTACACACAAGAAATCTGTGTTTTGCCTAAATGTAGACTCCATAGCATAACTTGTTCCTGCTTTTCTCATGTTTCCCTTTCTTATGGTGTGGTATTTCTTTTTCCCTTAAATATAGATGCATAAGAAAATTTATTATAAATCCCCATAGAAGTCAACATAGTCCATTTAGTATGTATTTGTCCCTTTTAGCCTTGTATATTGATCTACATTATAAAAGTCTTAGTAACTGAACTTTTTTATCTTGTTTCTCTTATTATTCAGAGTGTGACACTCTTATCTTTACAAGTAGAATTTACTGTGTTTAAATGTATGCTGATTTAGGAATTTTAGCATTTATAAATTTTTAAAAACTATAGCAGCAAGCAAAAAATAATTCTGTAAAGAGAGACAGGTATGTCAAGTTCTTCAAATGTGGTAGAAGTCTCAGACTTCATAAGCCATGGGAACTATGCCTTATATACATAGTAAATAATTATTTGGAACTGACAATTCCAAATGCTTTTCTAAATGCCAGAGTGAACATCTGCATTAAAGAAAATGTTATTAGATGATTATGTAAGAGTTGATAAACACCAAGTTAGCATTTGATATCAAAACTGAAGTTATCTGCCCCCCACTAGCTGGGCAACACAGGAGAAACTATTCAAAGAAGACCAGCTTAACACTTTTACCAAAATGTCATCATCAGTATGTGTGTGCATTTGCATGTACCATGGAAAAAAATTCTCAAAAATCTAATAACGGTATATTTTACTCTACAATTTGAGAATCAGTTCATTCTTTCATCTTTTGTGTGTGGCTTTAGACTGTCTTCAGTAAACTGTTTGCTAGGGGACTATTCCAAGCAAAATCCTTGGGCAGTACACTGCCAGCTTTAAACAAGTCACTCACCATAAAGAGCAAATTTGAAAAAGGTAGAAAACCTCTTAGTTTCTATTGAATTATTTTAGAAACTTTACATGAAAAGCCAAAATTAAAAATTATTCTTCAAAAATAAAGTATTTTATGTGTAAATCAGTTGTAGAGAAAAACAAAACAAAAAGCATCCAAGATCCTCTAATCCCAATGACCCTGAAAGATTATGAACTTCCAACTTTTTAATTTCAAATTTCTATAGAAAATCTGTTCTCTTAGTATTAACTAATGGAGATGCACATATCTCTGTTCCAGCAAGGGTTTCAATGTACAGTTTTCTTAACTAAAATTGAGTAGCAAATTATGTTTGAAATGCAAGTTTAAAGCTCAAACTTACAAATCTGAGGATGAGCTCTTAAATAAAAACTTGCCAGTTTGGTTGAATAATGTAAAATAAAACATGTCTTAAATCCTATTTTTTTAAAATCTGATAAATGAATAAAACTAATGGCTAAAATACTTCAGATGCATTAATTTTGACAATGTATTATAATGAATTGGGTGTGTACATTTATATAGCCATTTCATAAGTGAAGTGAATTGTTTTACTTAGGGCCAAAGGAAGGGAAGCATTCAGAGATGCCTGTTTCAAGGATGTCTGACACTTTAAAAATTTGTTCCTGAAACTAATCTTTACAAAGTCTCCAAAGTCTCCAGCACAATGCTATGCCCTGCTCTTCAACTCTGTCTTTTGCTACCACTAATCTCTGACTTTCCCAACCACCTCCTCCTCTCTACAAGTCAGAACTCAAAACACTGCTCTCCCAGTTCCTGTCTGGCTGAAGGTGTCTTGTGCCTTCAAGCATAAGAGCATTGACTTGACTGTGCTCTTTCAAGTCCTCGCTTGACTTAGAAACCATCCTAGCTCTCCCAGGCGAGGTTTCCTGCTAGAACCTGGTCTTGTCTAGAACCTGGTCTTGTCCAGCTGCATGTGTTTCTGGGTTCTGATCTTATATCTTAACTTTTCACACTTTCTTGCTCCAATTCTCACTTCCACTCCAGAGACAGTCAGCCCCTGATGGGTAAGAGATGGCAGGGGAATGGAAAAAAAATAAAACCCTGTTTTGCTTAGTCTACACATTCAATACAGAATGTTCAACACTAGACACTGAACTTAACCTCTGGTGTGTGTGTGTGTGTGTGTGTGTGTGTGTGTGTGTTGTAAGTCTAGGGCTACTTATCTATACTTTTCTCCAGTGAACACCAACCAGATGTCTTCTAATTCAACACATCATTGACACTCTCTGCCTGGACTTAGAGTCAGATTCTCAGTTCTACCAGACTGACCCCACTTAGATGCTTGTTACAAGTCTGTGGTTGTTACCTGTATTTCTAATCAGCTAGCTATAGATCTGGGTTCCTGTGAGTCCTTTATCCAGTCTAAATAATTGTCAAGAGGAGCTCAGATAACTGAGAAAAACATTTAATTTATTTTTACCCATGTAAAGGATATCACAGAGGATACAGATGAACAGCCAGATGGGAGAGATGCACAGACAAGTACAGGGAAGGCCTCTCTCCATGTTGCTCTCTCAAACTCATGCTCAACAATCTAAGAGTTCTTTAACAGCTGTACTTTGGTGTTTTTATGGAGACGGCATTCCAGAAACATAACTGATTGGTCTGATGATCACCTCAGCCTTCAGGCCCTCTCCCTTCTCCAGAGATGGGGTGAGGACTAACAGCTCCAATCCCCTAATCATTTGATTGCTTCTTCTAAGAGCAGCCCCATTCAAAGACTATTTAAGAGCCATCTGTCATTTTATTAGGATACATGAAGACATACCATTCAGAGGTTTAGAGATTCTGTGTATTTTAGGAGCCAAGTGCTAAGAAATGAGATGAAGACCAAACTTCTCTTGTTGTGTATTACAGTCCCTATGCCCCTTCTCAGGCCAGCTTCTTAATCTCTTGTGGCCAGTAGTCATGACTCCCTTACATCATTAAGATTCCCAAGACTGTCTTTTTTTCTCAAATATACTAGAGAGCTCTATTGTCTGCTCCAAAAAGTGTGGGTGAGAAACTAATAATAGTCAACATTTATCCAATACCTACCATATGCCAGGTTCTTTACCAGGTCTGACAAAACCAAAATTGTATAGAATATAGATTCTGTTCTTTAGGGTACCTGTGGCAGCAATAAAAGAAATGGAAACAGTGACAGTCCCATGTGCTGACATGTAAATGCAAATGCCCAGAAAAAGTAAGAATACTCACCACTACTGAGAGGGGAAATTGGAGTTGGGGATGAAGGGAACATTTTGTATTATCTATAATACATAAAATTTTACACTGAGGGATAGGGGTGTAACTTACTTATTGGTAAAGTACTTGCTTAGCGTATGTGAGGTCCTAGGTTCAATCTCCAGTATTTTATAATAATTTAAATAATTTTTTACATTGGGGTTATTTTTAATGTAAAATTAAGGCAATTAGAATTATGAATTTTTAACATTTTACAATATTAAATCTAGCTGATTTATAAATGCATTATCTCACATAATTATCAATTTTGTGAGAAATTTAAATGTCTACTCTTCATTTTCAACAATACAAGATGCAAGTATTAACTATCTTCACTATGCTGTACACAATTTTCTTGAACTCATTCTCATATCAAACTGTAAATATGTACTCTTTGTCCAAAGTCTTCCCAAACTCTCCATTGTTAACATTTACAGATTTTAAATGCTTTCACACATTTAAAACATTGTGTAGAACACCGCTTTCCAATCCTACAAAAGAAATGTACAAATGGGCAACTTTCACATGGGGACCAGCACAAATTATATAGAGGAACCACAAAAAAAGGAATAGTTTCTAATTTCTGGGAGGAAGACGAAAGACTGAATCCCAGAGTTATACAGGGAACCTACATAGGGAAAGAAGCATTTGAAGGGAAAGATTGGAAAAAGGATTGACTATGAGACCCCTCATTTGTGGGTTGCTGGAAAAAAAAAAGAGCCATAATGAAAAACATATTTAGAGAATATTAAAAACCCCTGTCAGTTTTCAGTATCCCAGGGGGCAGGAACTTAGTCCTTGTAATATATTTAATAATGTACCCTTGTGGTGCTGTGTATAAAAAGGTTCTTTTTAGAGGTTCATGATGTCCAACTGTATCCAATAAAAGCAGACTTAACAATAAGAGAGCCTGATGGTAAATATGTCAAAGCGAAACAAAACTTTAAGTAACCTAGATTACTTTTTGCTAAAGTAAGCAAATGCAAATTTATCCCCACTATAAAGATAATTAGAAACCATATGCCTATGCATAACAACTTACATACTCCACCCCACTGAAATAGATCAAAATCATTCAAATTTATCTGCTGAACAGAAGCACATTTATTAATCAGTATATAATTTTTTTAAGCAGGAAAACCAAACCACAACTGCAAAAAAAAAAAATGGCAGATCATTTTGTAAAAATATCATGATTTACCTTTAGTGAGAGAGTTGTCAAGGTATTCAGAAAAATTGGCCTCAAAATGGTGATGGGGCCGTTTTACTTGTTATACTAACAGGCCTCAAGAGAAACCTTGCTATTGGTTGATTTAGTAGTCTGGCTATCCAAAACTCATCTTAAGTGGTTTACATAGGAAAACATATTTTAGTTTTTAAAAAGTACATATTTGTAGTAATGCATATTAAGAAAGTACTGTTTTTTCCATTTACAACACTAATAATATTTTTATACAAAAAGTATGTTAGAAGCTG